AACGGCATGTGGATAATGTTGAATGACTTCCAGCGAGCGTAAGATAAATGTAAGTAAAAATGAATGAATATTAGCGAGTGTTAGAAACTGTGGTTGATAAACAACCTGCAGTGAGCGTAGAGTAACTGGAGGATATGATGAATAACTTACATATATGTGTGCTCGGCATATACATTTAAACTTTACTTCTATAACGACAAGAAACCCTACAAGATTTTTACAAATGTCAACAATTCAATGTGTCGTTTCAGTATTACAAATCCTTTAATTTATTTTAACGAACGTAGTCGAACGTAATATTGTGTCGATCAGATTTTGAAATTGCAAATCAACACTCTAAAAGGTTAAATATTTACCCAAGAAAAAAATTTGCTGCATTTTCCATCCGTCATACCTCCCGGTTTTCCAGTATATATTTTACAAAATTATTGACACGGGTTCGCTTTCGTATCTCGAGCAGTTCGTGCTTCGTTTACTGACCAGCAATTCACGGTTGGTTTCCTAATTCAAGGAATATAAATGAGGCTTACTGAAAAGTAATTTGTGTTCGGTGTTCTACCGTTAGAAATGAGTTTGCTTTACTAACCCAGCAGTAAACTATGCATTTTAGATTCACCGACTTTAGCAATCCGAGTTTGTTTGACCTCCTTCAGTAATTCCAGTTTGTTTTATTGCCTCAAGCAATCCGAATTACCAGTGTTTGCAGTTTCTGAGTTACGATGTGGATTTTTAACGCAATTTAGACTCCCGTTCCGTCAACACGTCATTTCCGGACGAATATTTCAGACGATGTCGTGTTTCTGCGCCGCCTTTGACGTCTACTAGAAAAACCTGGACACGTCTGGCCGACCGTTAAGCTTATTTTGCTACATGGGTATAATATTATTCAATATGTACCACAATTATTCAAATTATACTAGAAAATTTCCAAAAGCAAACAATTATTTTCGCCCTTCAATTTGTAAAAAGCTTCAAATTTAATATGATCAACTGCCATTTCATCGTTAATTAAATTGATTTTGTTAATTGTAATTTAATTTTTGACATATTTTTGATTATTTTCATACGAAAAAAACAGTCTTACACTCCATTGTTGTTTTTAAGGCCTTTTAGGCTTCAGTTAAGCTCACTTGCTGTGTTTGGGCCAGCGCAAGCGACAGTTTGCGCTAAGCTCAGGACTTAAGGGATAAGCACAATAGATTGCCGGCGATTAAGATCCCAATGCCCCCTGCTATCCGCATGCCGATTTCCGGACTGCGGATCATGGCACTGAAGCTGGCACCGAAATCGATACTGCAACACGTGTGGCTGCAGAAAATAACTTGCTTTTTCGGGGGATTGCATAGTTGTTTATACTTCTATTTCACTTCTTGCTGTTTTTTAAAAGCACAGCCAAAAACATAAAAACTCACCATATCTTTATAAGAGAAAACGTTTCGGACACCAGCTCCATCGTCAGTTCATCGCTAGCTGGTCTCCAAAACGTTTTCTCTTATAAAGATATGGTGAACTTCTATGGCATTGTCTTTGCTTTTAAATTCCTGGTTAACTTGCGATTGTAGCAACATCCCGCCTGACTTCTTGCATCAGACCACTTGAGAACAGTTCAATTTTGTGTTAACTTTGTCATACCCGTTCTGCTCCTAGGTAGTTAAACACCAGCCCTGTGCCAGTAAACAATAAACTTGAATCACAGCTTACTCCAGCCTCTCCCTAGCCTCTGAGTGTCTAGAAAACCTTTATTACCGCATTGTCAGATCAATCTTTACACGATTCAAGTAAACAAGTGAATTTAATACTTGTTCTTTTTATCTAGTTGATATTTTAGTTTATGATGTTGATTATTCTGAAGTTATTAGTGCTTTTGCTGAAAGTTCTTTCATCTGCTAGAGTTGCATGTTCTACTGTATATAGCAGCCGCCGTCGCTTCTATTACTGCCGCTGCTGCTGACAATCTCTGCGCTGCCGTCATGAAAAACCGCAATAAATGCCAAGACGGACGGCGGACGGATCACGAAATATGGCTAGCAATTGCCGTAGATTATTGCCGGACGAAGAACCTCCTACACAGAGCATAAATTTCTAGGATATCCTTTATTTCCTTTTACTTCTTGCCAATACTACACTATATCGCATGCAGTTAACATGAAGCTTGTGTACATGGCAGTGCCAATAGCAGGGTGGCCGGAAGTTGAAAATCCTCAAGAAATGAGAAGTTTGTTAAAGGTTTGAGCCCCGGCTGGTAATGATAATCATGCGATGTCTAGAAGCCTGACAAATATTCAAAGTTTACACTACTATATTATTTTACACCATTATTTTTTACCTTATTATATTACTTTATTACACTACTCTATCAGGTAAACTTTTAAGTAAGGTATAAGCAACGCACATGTCAGGCTGGGCGAGGAAAGACGCGGGTTTGTCGAGTTTTGAGACCTCTAAATTACAAATATTTATCATGCTCCGAATTAATTATAAATCAATTATATAATAGAATGATTAAACTCGATTGTGATCGGAATTCAAAGAGGGTAGGCATTATCTTGCGTTTCTTGATGTTTAAAAACCAATTAGATAAACAAGTTTGCAAGTTTCTACCAATTGTATGAGTTTTATCGAAATTCTATTCAAAAATTTTGAATTGGTATCCGAACGGAAAAAGTTGGCCTATATCGTCTATCTATATATGGCCTTGAACCTAACTTTAGAACAGTGCTTATGATCGTCATATTTTTTTCGAGAACTGGACTCGTATCGCATGAATTTCGCTTCGTGATTAGTTAATTTATTAATTCATCTTTCCCTTTCCTTGACTCATTCGTAATGGAAAAGAAAATTCTTTTTCTCCGGAAGCAGTAAATATGATCATTAATGAGATGGACACACACGCACAATCGATCGTTGCCATAGAACCGATTAATCATTGACTTCTAGATATCTGGACCCACATGAAAAGGCAGCTCACACTCAGAGAAAGCAATATGATTTGTCTAAATAGCTATTCACTTTTTATTCATGTGTGGGTTGTCCTGAAACATTTTGGCGTATAAGTGTCACGTGAAAAAGTAACTTACTTTATGGACAAAATGACTCATAATTTCCTGAGTGTGTAGCACGTTATTACCTTGCTGCAATTTTCACGAAGGGAGAAGCCAGCACAACGTATCAGAACGGAAGAAACTTCCCCAATATATCGGCAAGCGGGGGCTAATGGCAGACGCTCGTTAAGTGTCCAAGAAGTGAAGTACCGCAACGAACGTCATCATTAACAATGAACGTACACTATTATTGCAGGTATTGTGAGTCATGCCCAGTTATCGCTAGTACGAGGAGACTTTCACGCGTATTAATGACCAAGACGTGCATATATCAGCCGGTGAACGATCCGTTCCGTATTAAAAAATTGACGAATTCCTAATTAAAAACTATTTTTTATATTAAAAAACACTGGTGATTATGCCTCTTATGTAAAATTATGTATAGCAAAGTATTGGGGAAATTTTAGAATTATAATTGATTCAAATTTAAAAAAAAATTATACTAGTTTATTCGATGTGTGTTTACCTATTCTCATGAATGAAACTTCGTATAATACTTAAGCCTAGAATTTAATCAATTACTGATGAACTTTTCATTTGTGGAGGTATGAAGGCCTCTGAGGCCTCAAATGACTATTCATCTCAATTATTCTAGGAAGTTGAAGCCATTAAAGCAACCGAATGAGACTGAAATTATTCTTTAGAACTATTGCGTTCGAACACCGGCAGCATAGAGAGAGTTTTTTAAAAAAATGAACGATGGACCTTATTGAAAATTTTTCGAAGGCAATGAAGTACTACAGTATAGCAAAAAAATGAAAAATGAAACTGTGAAGAAAATGAAAATGAAAAAGAGAGACAAAAGAAGTCTCTGAGAAACTAACATTATTTTGTGCCAAACACATTTCAGTATAATGAACGTGTCATTCTTCGAGGCGTTGTGCCGACATGAAGGAAGTTCTCTCGCCTGATCTTCCCTTTTGTTAGGAACGCTACAAAACACTGGCGCGCTGCCGCTGTTTGCCGCAATTCGACTTCGGCAGAAACGCATTTTTTCCCCCGGAAAAAGCCTTACGTTGTATTCGGGGTTCAGGAGAAGAAGTTCCCAAACATGAACGGGCGAGAGAAACTGCTGATGGCTAAAGGAGGACCAAGCTTGTCAACGTAGGAAAAAATGAGAATTGTTCTCCGACTGAATAGAGCATCGACTCTCGGAAAAGAAAGAGAACAAATGGGGAAAAATTTTACTAGAATGAATTCGGAATCGACTGTCCGGATAAATAAAAAAATTCGGGCACCATTGCTAGGACGAAATCATGAAAACACTTAACAAAAAGGCGTTCACGACGCCAGTAAAAAGGAGGTATGACAATCTCATCATGATTCGGAAACCGAACCAATTAGCTATTATATTTTTTGATACCGTATTGTACATTTTATTGTACAATGTACATTGCATAGGAGTATAATGCAGTGAAAACTGCCTCAACGTACGTAAATACCTATAATGTCAATGAATATAAATATCAATCGAACCAAAATATTGATACATAAATCGATTAATTAAATTGTCAAACAGAATATGCCCATCTTATAATAAACGTCAATTAAGTACCACAAAATAACCCTCTTTAAAGAAGCCGAGCCTGATGTTGAATATAACCCAATAGTTTTAGCTGCCGAACTCGTTGATGTCGAAGTAATCAAAATAACAAAAAATATAACTCAGTACTCACTGCAGTGAGTGGCAGCAGAGAGCGCATTTTCTCGTGAACGAAAACGTGAAGTCACGGACGGACAGACAGTCGGACAGACGGACAGACGGAAATGGCGAGCACTATAGTGCATTTTTTCCGTAAATGAGAAAATGCGCTAAAAATTAAATGACGAATTAAAAAACAGCTGCTAATTAACGAACTAGCCTGTTTTTTATTGGCAAAATTAAAAAAAAATACTCACTGTTGACGACGAAAAAGCCGAGTACGGTGATGATGAGCCCAATTACGATGATGACGACGCCGCTGGTGATGATGAAGGTGATGACTTTACAGTCCTCTACAGTCCGCCTCCTCACTGTGATGTGTCGCCAGTCCACGACGGGACGGAAGCCTCCCACACCCTTCGCTGCTGGCTTCTTCTGTAGCGGGGAAAATAAATAATAGCAATAATAATAATAAAAATAATATTATTAATAATAACAATGTAAAACTTTAAATTAAAACCGTTGTAGGCGAGGTTAAATGTATAATTTTAAGCATCGGATTTGCTCAATAGCCGTTATTCGCCAAACTTTTTGCGCCAGAGGACGATTCTGACGACAATAAATTTAAAATCATTTAAGATCATGTTGGCGTATTTTATGTTGTGAGCGTATTTCGTACTGTGAGTTCATGTTGGCAATTTGTTGTTGGCATGATGACCTAATTACAAGCTTCAAACACAATGATACGAAATAAATTGTCGAATAAAAAATAAATTTATAATTATTGTCGGCGAAATGAGATTATTCCCGACGGTTGAAACAATTGTATCCCTGAACCCATCGTATGGGGACTTGAGGGATATTATTATTAACATGAAGTGATATTCGCACTCAGCTCAGGTAAACTAATTCTACGGAAATAAAATGTATTACTCTTATTTTTCCCACACAAACTCGAATCAAAAATATGAGCAAAAGTTTAGGCACTTGAATAAATCCAGCCCGATACAAACATATATCAATCAGAACATTTTATAATTACATAAATTTGAAATAAATATGATAGGATTTTATTAAACTACCTGAAAAGTTTTGTTCCATTCATTTTGAAGGATAATACAATGTCAAAAATTCTGAAATCACTCCAGAAAACGGTTCAACGTAATTTTAAGATAACGCATCAAAACTGTAATGTATCAGGTGCCGCAAACAAATAATTTCTGACGTATCCTAATCAAACTTTCATGAATATCTCGCCGCAATGTTCAAGTTCGTTGCATCTTTTTTATGATAAATAATAAATTGCATCTCTGAGCTCGGAAAAAATTCCAGTGAACGACATTTCTCGGAAATTTCGACAGTATGTGCGACCCTTACTTGAAGTCGTAGTAGCATTGAAATCGCAGTACTATTCAGTTTTCTATGTCTTATAGATCAAAATATGTGTATAAAAAAGATTAATTTCACTTGATAAATTTTACGCAATATTTGGTGCATGAATAAAGAGTAATATTCGTTTAATTCATTTACATACGTCTCTAAATGAGTGCAATTTGTTAGAATAGCACTGACAGCACTTATATTTGTGCGTGGTACATTGTAGTACATTCTTAAAATAGCACTATAACAGCACTTATATTTGCGCGTAATACATTGTTAGAATAGCACACACAGCACAATATTCACCAATGAATTTGCGTCAGACAACTTGCTACGCGGTTATTGGATATCTGATCGCAGCCAGCGCAAGTTTGCACGGCCGCGATGTTCGAACAATACAGCTGGCAGTTACATGCTCATTTGTTGCCATCAAATATCTGGTCGTTTGACCGGGACCTGCGTTTACGCTTTTACACGGCATGGCGTTTCGATTATCTAATCCTTTCGGCTTTCAATTACGTGGGAACATTACGGGCGGAAAAATACCGATACTAAAATTCTACACTCATAATATAGGGAAAAAGAATTGCTTATCGTAATCTAAGGGTATGCACCATAGCCGACGGTTAGCGACAACGTCGAATTTTCACGTCGAAATTTCACAATTTCGCTGAGGCTCGAACCTAAGTCACTGCAGGTTCGAAATACGGTGCACTTGGCTTCTAGATCAATGCAAGGTAGTATGCATGTATATAAACTGCTTTTATTCGGTTGATTATACAAGTCTTTACGCCTGCTGGGACAGGAAAGCAGTACAAATTGCACACGGTCCGATATTGAAGTTATATATATACACGCGCTATTGTAACCCATCATCGTACTTTATTACAGGTTAAATAGAGCACGATACCTCAGCCTTAAACTGTCCACTTTACGTGGCAATTTGAGGTCATGCAGTCACATAATTCCCATATTGCACTTATAAATTGTACGAAGTAACGTCTTACAAATTTTTACGTTTAGGATTCCTTGTTTCTCTAAAAACAAGAGTTCATTTATGCCAATCTACCTTCAATATCATGAAACTGAGCTTCTGTAAGATATACGTTACGATTAAATAAAATCATAAAAAATAATTTCTACTTTTCCCAGCACTTTCGTTATACCGGTTTCGTTTCAGCGCTCAGTTATAATGACAGTTCCTATAGTTTACGAATTTGGGTATTGCACAATGCACATCAAGATAGATTTATGTGTAATAAGAAGTGATGTATACATTGCAATAATTTTTTTACTATAAATCAGTAGAACAAAGCAGCGTTAAAAACCGTGGTCGCGTTCCCGCTTTACGCCTCAGAATAGCGCGGCACGTGTGCATGCATTATGAATGCACAAGTTCATCGCAAAAAAAAACAATTGGAATTTATTATTATTTTTTCACCTATTTAATGAAGGAGAGGTGCAAGCACCAGGGTCTTTGCAAGGTTTAAATGAAACAATCACATTCAAAGTAATAATCATACTTAATTATCAAGATGATTTATACCTTTAACTATCTTAATCCTTTATCATCTATAATTAGATGATAAAAATATGTATTCATAAATTGTAAATTAAATTCGTATTTCTGTAGGTCCTTCTCCAAGCGTCTTTACCCAACTTGGATTTTTAATAAGGGCATATTGAAAGAAATTGGAAGGGTACCAATTCTTTATTAATTTTAAAATAAATTGTACCATTTATACTCAAAGTTTAGTTTTTGTGTCGCCAATTTCATTGAATTTGCAACAATAAACGTAAGTGCAATTTCCCATAGACTTTCCACGTAGCATTTTTGTTAACCTTAGGTCTCCAGTTTTCTTTGCACCGAAGTTTGCCCGAAAGTTTATTTCTTACATTTAATTCTGGAGCGCCTTCGGAGCGCAATATTTCGTGAAGTTAGCTTTTGCTCCAACAAATTCTTTGATCATAATTAATTGGATCTGAAATCGTTTTACTGATATATACTATCAAAATAAGCACAAAAATTATATCATTCATTGTGTGATTTGAACTTGCAGATACTATGTTATCCGAAATCCGAATAACCTTAAATAAAACTAAGGAAATTTCGACTTCAAAAGCCAAAATTTCGAGCCTACAGTCAATGCCGTTATGTCGATAACGTTGACAGAGCACTAAAGTCGCCGGCTTTCAATAGAAACGATCTATTTAATGAAGAAAACTGGACCAAATCTTTCTAGCGCGACCATAAATCTACGTAGTCATCGTGCTGTTATCGAACCCTCCAAATCGTAGTTCTGACCAGACACAACAGCCATAATAGGGTTCTTACTTGAGACGAGCGGCGAGGTTGCTTAGTGGCTACTTACGTGTCATTGACGGTAAAGCACAACGATATATATTGATAGCAATGTACAAGGCATATCAATACTTTAGTCATTTCCAGAGTTGTAATATAAATTTTAAACTTGAATCAAATTATTGATAATCCTAAATTGAAATAAAAATCTTAAATCAGAAGAAATTTGACAAAGCGAGTTCATGCTTTCTAAATACACTGAACAAATGCAAATCTTGAAAATGACTTCATTAGAGTTATCACTCACCCGTTTCTCCATTTTAGCCATGTGAAGAAACATGTTGGAGATCTTGTATAGAACTGTAATAGAAGGAACGGTTTTCTGCCACAAAGTCGCGAGGTTAGAGTTTAAATAAATGCGATGGCCATTATGGAACCAATACCAAAAACATTCCGTTTAGGTACGTGAATACACTTGAAAAAACTTACGAGCACCTATGCACACAAATCCAACGCAGGGAGCAGTGCTAACTAATAAAACTGCCCATTCGAATCTGTGCCGAATATTTTCACTGTTCAAGCTTTAGTTTATGTGAGACACACTTAATAATTGCGCGAACTAAAACTTCAAATGATAGTCAATAGAGCGTTCCTCTTAGTTGTCAGCTATAACATGAAAAATTTGCATGAATTATCAAAATCTGTAACGAATAGATGAAGTAGCAACATAGAGTGCAAAGTAACAGGTGACAGCGGCAGCGCAACAGCCGCACAACCTCTCACTGCGATGACCGAGACTCGAATGCGCGGAACGCCGTCGGCGTCGTCAACGACTCAACGTACCTGGAAAACTTGGAAACTTCTGAGACGTTTTGCCTTTCAAAAGTTTTCAGTGTTATTCTTTAAAGCAGTTTACCCAGTCGTTGCTCTAGAAGTCTAGATAGAAGATTTCTTAGATTATATTTCGCTCGAATTCGTAAATGATTTCAAACATAAGTATTATCAATAGACGTAATACTCTTTCACACCCACATTTGATTTATCAAATTTTAATAAAACTAGGACCATTCCTTGGAAACGGCTTTCAAATTTGTGGATTGCATTACAAATAACTGAAATAAGTAGCATTCGAAGATTAATCCACTAATCATTACATCACTAAAATGAATATGCGCGCGAATATATTATTAGCAAAGCGTTGTGTGCATTTTATTTGCCTTCTATCTATAATTTATAGATATTCTTTATTGTTCATTTATTTTACCTGAAATTTATCCATGTGTGTTAATGGCTAAATTTACGTAGAACGAAACCGCTATGCATTTGACATATTAATTGGATCTACAAATAATAATATCCGGATCAGCGTAGAGTGATTTGACTTCATCTTTTAGAAATAAATTTCAATAGTGAATAAATGCTCTCATGATATTGAACAGTATAACAATGCAAACTTCATGCAATTAACAGGATTCAAAACAGAGAAATGTGTCGAATTAAGGTCTAAAAATTGTGCAATGATATGCAAAGCAATTCGATTATTTCGTAAATATATATACGTATATATAACCAAAAAAATTAACAATTTAATGTTCATTTATTCGATCACTTCTAAGGTACACAATCCACCGAATTTCACTGAAAAATTTTACAGAGATCACTAAATGAAGCAATTCTCTGAGACGGGTGATGTGCTGCCGAAAATACGGTTTTCCATTCGATTTTGAGACATTAAATGTCTTAAATCTCGACAAGCGAAAAATTTGAGAATTGACAGGAGAGTTCGGGCGATCAAGCGGTTCGAAGTTACAAAACATTGGTCTCTTTAGAGCATTTTCTCATTTACGGAACAAATGCACTATTGCATGTGCTAGCCATGCCCGTCTGTCTGTCCGTCTGTGACTTCACGTTTTCGTCTACGAGAAAATGCGCTCTCTATCACTCACTGCAGTGGGTACTGAGTTAGATTTTTTTCATTCATGGAATTCCCGTATCCACGGTTCAAGGTTCGTCGGATAAGGCAATCACAGATGCCACAAACAGAAGGCTCGGGTAGCCATCAAGCCACAGAGATAATGAGCTGCTGCACACCCCCTGGAGAAATCTGTTTCTTCTTGGATATCAGGATACGGTGGCAGCTTTGGTCTTGGATAGCAGGATACGGTGGCAGCTTTGGTCTTGGATAGCAGGATACGGTGGCAGCTTTGGTAATGTATAACAAGATAAGGAACAGGTTAAGTCTTGGATAACAGATTAGGACACAAAATACTTTAGAACACTACTTGGGAAGAATTATTATTTATTTTTTTATCAATTATTATTTATTATTGCGCATATATTTGTGCCTCCAGCTTTTCGTTCCAGCAATGGCTTGAATACTGTTGAAAACAATTTGTAAATTAAGATTGACTGATATTAAAACAATTTGAATCATCATGCCTCGTACTCTACCTCAGCCTTAGCAAAAGTCTGCTCCTAATTTCAGCTTCACTCTATTGAAATCGAAGCAGCGTTAATTCGTTGGATGCTATCACAGGCATTTGTCTTCACTAATACCTTAAACATTTTCTGCACCTTCGAATAGGGCGGCTACAACAGGTCAATTTTCATTGTGCTGCAAGACCCGTATTTTATTTGCATAAAATATTTGTCATAAAAATCTTCCGGTTTGTCTGCGAATAATAATTGAAAATGTGCTCATAGGCAATGAATATCATGTGCATTTCTGCATGGCGCGGGACATTGCCTACTTTCAGCTACCACTCGACATTTTGTTCTTTTATTAATTTTATTTATTATGTCATGTTTCTTGGCTGATATTTAATTGTTTAAAACTAAATTGTTAATTATTATATGATTACGAAGCTTTCATTTCGGGAGCTGGGAATTAGAGTGCTCAATCGAACTCATTAGAATTTAGTGGGATGGACATGCGACCTAAGACCTTAAATCCCCTCTTGATTCTATTCCAATTGCGAGCTCGATTGAAGTACCCGGTGGGATTTTCAAAGCAATTATTGCATTCGCGTTACTTAATGAATGGGTCTGCCAGTCTAACGATGTGAAGAAATCACCAAATCGAAGTGAATTGAAAAATAAATATCGATGGCGGGCAGTAACTCAGATATTCATTAAAGTACTGGATAATTGCTATAAATAGAATATGAAAGTTGTCGATGGTACTCCTTGCTCAATCGCTCTCCCTGATGACAAATAGTCAACAAAGTATAAGATGAAAATGATTTCAGCTGGAAATTTTAGTCAATCGACAAATCGTTTAATTTCACAACGGATGTCATGAATTTGTCGGAGAGAATAGCTCACGACGGGAAAAAAGACTGCTCGCAACTTTGGTTTTGCATCCCATATCAAGGAACATTTGTCTGCTGCACAGTCTTGCATTAAAGTTCCCTTATCGTTTGCGTCTTATTTTCGGTCGGTTTTATTTTCTTTTGCTTCCTGAGATCACGGACCCTAGAGTCTCTGAATAGCCGCGAGCTAATGGTCCGAATTTAGCTTCTAGAAATGCAAAATATTGCCTTGCCTAATCGTAAGCTTAGATCCTCTTTGAGGAAACTCAAAAATAAGTGATCGACGGCAATTTAGTATCTAAGTATCAGCCATCATTGTTCCGTGCATTATTTTTTTATCGTAAAAATATTGGCGTTGTCAAGAAACAGCCTCTGAGTGGCAAGTGGGAGCGCGAAGCTCATCGATCTTTTAGCTCTTACGAAAATTTGCTGAAATATGCTAATCAAATTTATACTATAGAAGGCAAACGAAATAATTACATTTAACGAGCATCCAATACAATTTAGAATTCAACAGACTTAAGAAACCAAACGGCATAAAATAAATTTTAGAAATCTAAGGTAAAATTGATTTTTTTATTTATATAAGAAGAGGATTTAATTTCAGCAAAAAAGATTTGAGCAAAAGGCCAGTCTAGCCAAGAAAAGTACAAGAATCGGCGACAGGCCTATCCAGGCCTATTCTTCAATGCCGAAGATACTATAGTCTATACTATATATACAGTAATATACTATACTATACTAGGAAGTAATGAATGGGGTTATGTTTGTAAATTTCTCGATTCTCTTTTGCTGTGAAAATTACTAGCCTTGAGTAGCGAATATTCCAATACCAACAGAATGACAGGATTGATTAGTAGTCTCCACGATACCTCGAGTCGGGATATTTGGACCTAAAATCTTAATTTTTATGGGAGAATAGGAAGGCATAACTCAGCTACAGTAGGTCGGGAAGTTGGCTCCAAAAATATGCATTTGATTTTTAAATCGATTTATAAAAATGCCATTTAAAATAAATAACGATTACTTCCCATTTTACACCGCGAGTCAAATGGAAATTCTATGTTTTTTTATGTAAAATGTGTCATATCCGTCTGGCACACCGATTAAGAAAGAATGGTTTTATAGACGAAATCCTAAAACCGTTAAACTGAATAAGTTTTACTTTGATCAAACGAAGCTCAATCCTACGTATATAAGTAAATCTTAACAGTTAGCGAGGCACATTCCGAATATAGAAATATGCGTAACACCTGCAAATCAGAAGTTCAAATTTCTCTACTGAAGAAAACGATGTTCTCACGTTCTAACACTGAACAGCGCGATCGTAAAGTTAACGGAATAGACGAAGCTATGCAGGAGCATATGTTCAGTCTTAAAATGCCAAGCAAATTAGGGACCAGACAATAAGTCCAGCAGCTATCTCAATAAATCGTCTGTTATGGAAAGACCGGGTTTCAAAGGCCGGATCCCTTGTGAATCAAGCCACGAAAAGTTCAAGAATCGGCAACAGGCCATGGGCCTATTTCTTCAGTGCCGACACTTCTATTCTAATAAAATTGATGAATAGCGATCCACGGAACAAAAGATTCAGGCGATAGCCACGCCAGCGCAGCCGACAGGTCACCTCCCACACCGGCTGTCGCAATGACACTCGGCTTCGTATCTGCAGAGCATTGCAATAAATATATTGTATACGGGACCAATAAGGCATGCTTGCGATGGTTAAGTCCGCGTTTCAGGATGACAACCACGCGGCAACTTCAATCGATCATTGAACACGTCTGACCGCTGGATTCTAATGACGATATACGACTTATCGATTATTATTAGTGTCACAGGAGGATGATATAGTTGAAGAATCTTAGAACTTCACACTGACTGTCTGGGATTCTTTTAAGCATTGATTTTCCAATTCATGCCATCATTTAACCGATTAAATTTTTATAATTGGATATGAAAAATATTTCTTTGATCACAAAGCATTTCGCGTGTTGAACGATACTGAAACCCATCACTTTAATCAAGAGCAAATTATTCAGTATCATGATCAGTGATTTCAGGATCACTGTCGGGTTGAGGATTTCTACACAAGACACTCCTCTTTAATTTGCAGAGGTGCAGGAATTACCCATGGGAATTACCTGTCGTTTAGGCAAGGTTCTAGTGTCATGTCGAGTTAGCGTGACTAGACGTGATTGTAGAGCCAGGAAGCTCGGCAGGCTCGGCAGTGCACGTCCAATGTTTTAAATGGAAGGAAAGATTTTAGCGCATTGCGATGCAGTGAGCAATGCTCTACTAATCCCTAATAATTAACCTAGCCCTCTACAATGAAAACATTTGAATACTCAACGAAAGAGTTGATCCAGGTATAATTATTATTATTGATCCAGGTATAATTATTGTGGTGATAATTTGCTGTGATAGCAATGAAAGAAAGGTTAATTTTGACATTAATAGCGAAATTACCTAGTGAA